AATGATTAAGCGAACCCCTCACAGCTACGTTATGCAGCAACACAGGAACGGCAGAGCAGGAGTCACACTTTTAGCTAGTACCTGTCTATGGTTGAATCATTTACTACCGTCCAGCATATTTTATTAATTTTGATCCCTACATTGTTGACATTTTTGATTCGTCTTGTCAGAAGGGTTAGCACTGCTTTCAAAACCAAATAAATATAGTTTTTGTAAAAAACCCTCCAACGACGTGATGCATAGAGATGTTGTTGCTACCTATAGAAACTAGCACTGGGATACAGTGGTAGAGGTGTAACGTTAAAAAATAACTCATGTTAAGATGAAATATCAAACACAAGGTAAAAATAGATGACAACGGAGGCGGCCTTTCATTAACTGTAACATGCAAAGCATTTTTGAAGTAGAAAGAAGAACTAAGTTTATAAGGTAAGCCATTTGGGGAGTACAAAAGGGCAATAATCAATGAAAAACTATTTGCGGAATTCATTAGCTCCTTTGCACTGTGAAGAACAGAAAATTACAAATGCTATACAAGGATGAGGCCTTGGTTTTAGGAATTGCTTCGAAGCTGTCTAAGAACAGTTAGGGCAAGTGAGGTCCTGTCTTCAGACAAAATCCAGCGCGTTATCAGCGATTGATTCTTTTGCGAAAGTAAGGGTCCACAATCACCTAGGTACGTCAGACCGCAAGCTGAGGGAAATCCGGAGGAAGTGATTATAAAAATATACGAAAAACAATCATGTTCATCCAAAGCTTGCGACCAAGATCAGTCCAGAAAAGGTTAACTAAAACGGATCACGCGGCAATACCATCGTGATGGAAAAAAATACTTTTGGCTAATCAACCACGAGCAGAATCAGGCGGGGCCACGAAATTCCCGATTGGCTTTCCATTTGAAAGATAAAAACGCTTCCTCACATCAACTAACTTTGTTACCAAGCAGATAGCCCTACAACGGGAAGTCTAACAGAACGTTTTCAGAATATTTATCCTTCAGCAGGACCAGAAAGTTCTAAATACGAGACTGAAATGATACACAATATTTCGTCGACTACTGCACAGACGATCATTTGGTACAGCATATAGCTAAGCTGCCATCACTGTCTTGTTCTGCGCAGCCATCAACGCAGTCCTCATCAGCATCATTGTGGCTTTAAAAAGTATAGTAATACAGGCCCCTGGGAAAGAAAACATGAATGAGTGATGCCTGATTCGCAGTTCTATATACCTACGTCAAAATGAACAAAATCTATTAGATTTGATATCATCTCTTGCTATACGAACAAGGGAACGCGAAATGAGCTAAGTAGTTAGCGAAAACGAATATCAAGACTGGGTTGCTGCGACAATTATCAGATAATGTCACTAAATATCAGTCGTCCTAAACGCATAATTTTTCTGACAGGTCGGTATTTAGAGGATATCTATCTGACAAAGTAGTAAGGTAAGTGAACCTGTATGTACCTCGCAGATACAATTAAGAGATTTTGCTAAATGAATTTCCGAAGAAAACGAATGTTACAAAGAAAATGCCAATTCGAGGACGAACGTACAGTCGATATTACCATAAGACGCAGATGTAGGCGTTCCACAACATTTTTATGCTGTGCAATACATGAAAACGGCGCTATTCAGAGATACGAATAAACTACTAGCTATTTTGGGACAACTTACCAACGTATATCTTTTTGTAACACGATGTCTCGACTTAGACCTTGCAGCGATGGCCAACACCAGTGGAACATTGGCAACTCCTCAGATAAAAAAAGATAATTCCGTCTTTTGTTGCCTCCCCGTTCCCAACGTATCCCGATATGCATGTATGCAAAGGCAT